ATAGGAATCAGATCTATATCATATAGACACTACGAAAGGACTATTGGAGGTTTTGAGGGTTTTGCTTCTAGCTTACAATAAATTCATGAGCTTAAATATTTTTTCTATTAACAGCAAAATTATTGTAGAAGCCGTTCAGTCAAGCTAAAATCTAAACATATTTAATGAAATAAAATAAGATATAAAATTTCAGAAACATAAATTTTCCAAAATCTCGCAGTTTTCATTTCCATCAATATTTTTTTTTATTTCACAAAAACAAAATCACATACAAAATCATTTTCACTTTTCAAATATTAAATGTTAAAAAATTCCAAACTCAACAAAGCAACACTTTTTCGCCAAAATATCACAGTTGCCCCCGATTCCAACAACTTTGATGTACATATGTACATTTCATGCACATTTCCTTGATCTGGTAATCTTAATTCAATAAAACTCAAATAAATCTCTTGGATGCAGCAATCATGGATGAGAAAATAAACAAAATTGCCGCCTTTGGAGTGATGACAATAAACAAACCGCTATTGAGATGCCTTAGATTCTCAAAAAGTCACTGTTTGGTGGGCCCTAATAGCAAAGGGTATCACTGGGTCAAATTTATTTGAAAAGGGATCAGGCCGTAATGACACAGTCAACGAGTAACGCCATAGAGGCATGATCAATCACATTTTCGTGCTTGGCTATTGATGGCAACGGCCTTTGGTTTCAATAATATGGCGCTGCGTACCATATATATATATATATAAATAATTGGCGCTTTGTAACCACTGAAGCGATTTACGACCGAACTCCCCCTCCAATTTTTCAAATGCATCATGATGATTGTCTCACAAATGGAAGGACCTACAGTCTATATTTTTTGCCGCCTCCAAACGGATTATGGTTTTTTATGAGGATCCTTTGTTTCATGTCAGATATACACTCGGAGGGAGGTTGACATTCCCTGCCGAGCGGCGACCGCAATTAGAAAATTTAACTTACCCGGGATCACCTTTGAAACATAATGACAGACGCTTATCATTAGAAAAAAGCCAAATTCTTGTCAAAAACATTAATTTACTTCTTCCTTATTTCTTCTAGAAAATCACATATCTAAATTGCACCCTTTATTACAACGCACAAGTAATTCATAGAATGCATAATAAAGATGAACAAAGCATTTCTGTACTTTCGCTTCGCTGCCATGGCAACTTGTTTAAGATTTTTTTGTCAATGAAATTTATTCTGCCATTATTCTTAACAATATCAAACCAAAGGGCGGCAAACAAATCCAGACCAGCGAAGCCGCTGAAATCGAGCAGCGCCAGGATGCGGTGAAAAGTTTTGTGCTACAAAGAAGTATATACGAGGTGTGTTCAAAATATACAGAATTTTTTATTATTTATTTTTAATAACACTAGAGCACACCTCGTACATAATTCTTTGTACCAGAAAACTTTTCACTGCACAATGTTTTTGTCACACGAACTTTTTGAAGATTTTGGTTAAGTCTTTTATATATATTTGTACCTTCGCAGATGTCATTAAGTGGGCAGCACTGAAGATCTAAAGACAATTCAGAAAATCGCATTTTAAAAGCGTTTTGTGCGCTGGAATAAACGCTGACAGGATCGCATAATCTCAATGTGAACGAATAAAGAACACCCTGTGTGTTAGGGGCTCAAGAACTTAACCGTGGCGAGGCATGCCTGTCGTAAGAGGCGACTAAAATCCAACAGTTCTATTGACAGTCGGGTCTTTATACCAGCACGACCCGAATTTTTATCTGGCCAAGCACTGTGAACAGCAACAACAGTGCGTATAAAAAATACTTTATGCAAAAAATGAAAATTCTTGTCAGTTTTCGAACACACCTCATACACTAGTATATAGATTAAATATTGGCAACGGTGAAAACTCTAATGCTTATACTAAAAACTGACTCTGTCGCACTAAGCTCTGTCCAACATCAATATTTTTGTATGGTTGTGTACATACGAAACTGCGGTTACTGCGCGCTTTCAAAGCTGTAATGATTATTTTCTCTCAAGTTTTCTTTGCGCAAAATAAATATTTTCGTTTATAGTTCTGTGTAGAAAGCTCAAAAAAACAAATTTTTTTATACATACAAACGGAAGTCTTTGTGAAAATAATTGAGTAAAAAATCGCATGCAGGATAAAATTTTCAATTTTTTTATATTTTTTATGCAGCGAAAACCTTGATGACATAGACTTGAATTTATTTTCAGTGAATTCGATAAAAAAGAGAGATAGTATAAGCGAACTGTGTATGGCATAATGGAAACTTGATTGACTTCAAATCTAGTACACAATATGGAAGTGAATAAGTTTATATGTTGAAGGGTATTTATTTCAAAATCATTATATTTCCAAATAATATTTTTTTTTAAATAAATTTCCTTTTTTTAGTTTTTGCTTAACAGCTATGAGTTGAGTTTATGCGGCTGCTGGTCAAACCCCAGCACACTTACGCCAATAGGGCCATTGTGATGAGGTTCCTGCCTTCAGCTTCTCAAATAAACCAACTATTTCGTGTGCCATATAAAGGCAACGCGATTTCCAATATTCATTGAGGCCAACTCAGCTCGACAGTCGAAAAAGTGTTTCTCACGGAACTTGTGTCGCGCAGATGTCAAAGCTGGACAGTGCCAGAGGTGGTGCTTGATGGTAGCTCCCTTTTCTTCGTCCCTACAGTGCCCAGTTATTGGGCCCGTGGAAATGCTGAAGGAGAACCGGCCAAGAAGGATAGAATGTTTTGATTTTTTCGCGTCCAACTTTGGTCCTAGCGCTCTGCTCACCTTTGCATGTGATCTCATTCAACCATCTTGAGTCAGCTTCCCCACTAAAGGCCAGTTTAAGCAGGTACTTTGCCATGGACAGAGGTAAACCAGCATCGTGTTTTATCGCAAATAAGAGGGTTCCTTCCCTTGCTTGTACGTCCGTCTTGCAATTGCCTGGGATGTCCGTGTGCCCAGGTACCCACACCACGGCAGTAATGGACTTCGTTTAGAGTTTGTTAAAAAAGTTCCTACAATTTATGGCCACTTTTACCGTGGTACCGTTACTTTGAAGAGATCTGATTGCTGCCTGACTGTCGTAGTATATTGTAGCTGATTGTCTTGTTGTTATAGATTTGTGCAACCACTCCACGGCCTCAACAATTGCGCAGAGTTCCGCCTGGAAAACGTTGCAGTGGTCCGGAATTCTCATGCTCATGCTTACTGAGAGCACGGGAGAATTAATTCCGCAACCCACCTTCCCATAAAGCTGCGAGCCGTCTGTGATGATGGCTATTACTCCCTGCTCGATAGTGCTACTCCAGAAGCTACCAGAGCTTAGTTGGGAGGTTCTTATGCGTACATTTTTCACGGGATTTTCATATGTTCCTCTCTATGACGAATGAAGTGTTTCTAAGAGAGATGTATAGGACATTATCTTCTAACTGGCAAAAAGCTGGCGAGCAAAACGGTGGGCTAACTTTGGTAAATAAGACCATTAATTTAAGGCAAGAATTATGGATTATGATTTATTAGACCTATATGTATGATTTAATAGCTTTGGTTGCACCTGCAGCCTGTCTCTTTCTTAATCAAATAAATTTTAAAAGGCTTCCGACCTTACCTGATCCTAATGTTAAAGGTAATGCCACAGACTAGAATCTCAAAAAAAAAAAAATACCAAATTTGTTGCAATTTATCAAAACAAGAATTTAAGCAATTATTCGCTTAAAGCTGAAGGCTGAATTAATTAAAAAAAAACAGTTAATTAGCGTAAATATACCATTTTCGTATGGAATATATTAATGGAATAATTATTAATAAAAAATTTACAGTTATTTTCACAATTTATGGATTGCACCATAAAAGCAATTAATTCTCTATTTTATTTATAATTATAACGTCATTTTCCACCTTATTTCATTTCACTTAATGTTGGCTTTCCACCACAATCCATGTTGTGTTGAATTAAAAATTAATATGTTGCGTATACGACCTGTTGCACGCCCTCAAATGCTCAAATTACTGTCATAGAGTGGCACAAAGTAATGAAAATAATTCAAAGTTCATCGCTGAAATTTACACATCAAATCATTTGATTTCATTGCAGACAGTAAAAAGTTTTTTTGCAATTATGAGCGTGCAAGAAACTGAGAAAATCTTATAAAATATACCAGGAAAAGAGGAAATTTTAACAATTTTTCGTTAAAAGTAGAAATTATTTGATCACCCTATTTTACAATTTTTTTTTTACCCCGCAGCTCACTCCGCCATTTATGCAAAACCACAAATGGCTTTATTTCAATTGTCTGCCTGGCAGAGTGGCCGGACAAAGCAGCCACAAAATCCTCAACATTTCGAAATCCACATTATTATGTTATGTCACAATGCATAGACCACAGCGCAGGGATTACGGTTAATATAGTGAAAATGGCAAAGTGGACGGTGTATTTAAGTAACTTTTTTCTAAATTAATTATTTATAAGCCCACAAATATGTATGTAACTACATATACTTGCACATAGTTAACACATATAAGCAGCTAAATGTACAGAAACTTTAACGAGTTTTGAGTTTCTAGGATAGCATATAAATACGAGCTACCACTGTTACATAAATACAAATAAAAATAAGCAAGGAAGCCTAAATCCGGATGATACGGAAAAATCATTTTATTTTATTTTATTTTATTTTATTTTATTTTATTTTATTTTATTTTATTTTATTTTATTTTATTTTATTTTATTTTATTTTATTTTATTTTATTTTATTTTATTTTATTTTATTTTATTTTTTTTATTTTATCTAATTTATTTTAATTTATTTTATTTTAGTTCATTTTATATTATTTTATTTTATTTTTATTTTTTTTTAACAACTTTATTTTATGTATTTTTCCTTTTTTATTTTGTATATATATGTACAAAACACGCACACACATACTTAGATGGTTTTTTAGTGTGGTAATTATTAAATATTTATATTCATCTTCTCACTCACCCTTTACCAGCGTCCATATGCCTAGTGGCATCACCAGCACAGCTACCATTAGATCCGTTATTGCCAAAGACATTAGAAAGTAGTTGGTGACATTTTGTAAACGTCGCTCCAAGTAAATAGCCAAGCAGACAAGTATATTCCCAGCCGCTGTGGCGAAGACCAGTAGCAGTATCACATAACCCCAATAGTTGTCCACATGAACTTCAGCTAAGTCCACTTCCTCATGAAGATCTAACGCCGTTGTCGTAACATCCGGCAATGTGCTGAACGTCCGCAGAAGTACACCATTCGCTGAGGCCATAACAAATTCTGTGGTATTCACGGTAAGACTATTATTATTGTTGTCTGTTGTCCACAACACCGCAAAGCCGGACGCTTCATATAATTCCTCCGCGGCGCTGCTCTCGCTATTGAGTATATTTGCCGACCACAACTGTTCCGCACTTGCGCTATCGTATGACGACGGCGGGATTGCGGGTGCGGATGCGGCTGTGTCCCACGATGGTGATAACACAGACATTTGCGCTGAGCCCAATGCAGTTTGCGCGCGTGAGTCGTCATCAATGGCGCTGACACCTCTAGATGTGCCATATGTGGCATCATCGCCCAGGTTGTAGATATGCATGGGTGTATGTATGTTTAAGCGTGTACAGATGGAATTTAAAATACAATAATTATTGTTATTGTTAGTACCGTATGCAACATTTCTCTCGCCAGCGCCTGCTGTCTGCTAGAAACTTTCCCTTTAGTGAATCATTTGCACTTGTACTTGCGCTTGTATTAGTTATCGGTTTTCAATTTTATGTTGTTGTTGTTGTTGGTAATGTAACGTGGGTAAATGTTACTACTTTTCCCGCATAACTCACTCTATTCATGCTACAGCTTGCGCAAACCGATTTCCGCGGCGGATACTGACCGCGTAACGGTATTTAGTAGCTCTGGCAAAACTTCAAATAGATTCCCTTGCCTGGTTTATTTTAATAATTATTTTGTCTTTTTAACTATTTTCCATCTATTTTTCTCTTTTATTTCGTTTAGTTTTGCTTTTTCACTTCGCAATGGGAAATTAACGCTGTCGTCTTGAGGTTTTTCCTCGGCGAGGAAATTAACATTTTGTTGAAAAAAAAGAAGTTCAAAATTTATAATTTGAGGAAAACTTTTGCTGAGTTCAACAATATAAGCCTTCAGGATCCGTCTGAGCTGTTAAGCTTTCGGTATGCTACCTTGTGTCAGGCAGTATCTGTAAGAAAAGTACAAAAATTTAGAAAAATTCAATTGTTTTCAAAATGTAGAAATATTTAATAAATTCATGCAAATTCTACACGGTGGCAACTCACCGAATTAGTTACAATATATTTTGATATAAAAGGTATTTTAATCATTTTAACACAATTAAATTAATATCATTTTTTTTAGAACTATTTTATTTTATAAATTTTTATACCATTTTTTTATTTTAATTTATTTTATTTAACTTAATATGTTTTTACTTAGTTTTATTCAGTTTTTCAATTTTGTTTTGATTAGTTTTTTTTTTTATTTTAAATACTATTTTTATTTTACTTTACTGTATTTTTTATTGTATTTTCATGCATTTAATTTTATTTTATTCAATTTTATTCTATTTTAATTTATTTATTTTTTTAAATAATCTTTTGATTTTATGTTATTTATTTCATTAGACTCAATTATTATTTTCTTCTTTTTTATTATATCATTATACCCACTTTTGAATTTTGTTTATTTATATTTTTTTTATTTTATGATATTGTGTTTTTTTATCTTATTTAATTTTATTTTATTTTACATTACCTTAATATATTTTATTTTATTTTATTTTGTTTTATTTTATTATATATTTTTATATTTTATTCTATTTAAATTTATTTTTTTATTTTATTTTATATTCTTTTAATTTGTTTTATTTAAATTATTTTATTTTTGTATTATATTTTAATTTATTTTATATTCTATTAATTTATTTAACTTAAGTAAATTTTTTGTTTTATATAAATTTTTATAATTTATTTATTTTATATAATTATTTTTTTGACAGGATTTTTGATTGTATTTTTATGCATTTGTTTTTATTTTATTTAATATTATATTATTTTATTTGATTTTATATTGTTTTATTTTATTTTTTTTTTTTTTTTTTTTTTTTTTTTTTTTTTTTTAAATAATCTTTTGATTTTATATTATTTATTTCATTACACCCAAATGTTTTATTTTTTTTTGTATTATAGTATTATACCTAGTTTTTAATTTTGTTTAATTATATTTTATTTTATTTTATTTTATGATATTGTATTTTTTATCTTATTTAATTTTATTTAGTTTTATTATAATTTTTTTTTGTTTTGTCTTTTTTTTATTATATTTTTTATATATAGATAATAGATAATATTAAAATTTATTTTTTTTTATTTTATATTCTTTTAATTCGTTTTATTTAAATTATTTTGATTTTGTATTATATTTAATTTTATTTTATGTTATATAATTTTAATTTATTTTACTTAAGTTAATTTTCTATTTTATTTTATTAAATTGTTTTATTTTTTAAATTATATTATTATATTAAGTATTTTTTTTTTGTTTTATTTTATCATATTTTGTTTAATATTTTTAAATTTTATTTTATCTTAATTAATTTTGTTTAGATTATTTCATTCATTTTATTTAACCTTACCTTATTTTATTTCATATTAATATATTTGATTTAATTTTATTACTTTTTGTTATAGTTTGTTTTATTTTATTCTATTCTATTCTATTTAACTTTTTTATTTTAATTTACTATTCAATATATACTTTTATTTTATTTCATTTTATTTAAATTATTTGATTTTTTTATGACATTTTTCTTTAGTTTTTAATTTAATTTTATTTATTGTAATTTTGCATTTTATTTATTTTATTTAGTTTTATTTAATTTTTTTCAATTATTTTATGGTACTTTTTATTTTATTTTCTTTTATTTTATTTAATTAATTTTTGCTTTTATATTTTGTTGTATTTCATTTTAATTATTCATTTTTCAATTGTTTTAATTTTATGCCATTATTTGGCACTTTTATGGAGATATTGAAATATACTAGCGATTTAGCCTTATAAATGGACTATATATACTTAATTTATAATACAATGTGAACATTAACCTATATATGTATGTCTATTTATGCAATATTTGTATCTCTCTTGCACATTTTAAACCAAAGTTTCTAATACCAATTTGTCAAAACTTATGTAATACCGACACTGCCAGCTGCAACTCAAACTTTTCGTGCTGCATGTTAGGACTCTTTCATACGAGAGACTTGTTCACTTGTCCCAATGACCATTTATCAAAAAGCAAAAGCCATGTCTACTTAAGCGACAGACGATTAGGGTAGAAATGGAGCAATGGCAGAGAAGGAAGCATAAATAACACTAGCAGTGAACTTTTAGGGAAAGGAAAGGACGAATATAACAGCATTCAAGCGACGTTATGACTGTGTGGTACCGACGCAGTGCAACCATAACAGCAACATTTTATTACAATGCGTTTTCGAAATTTCGTTAAAGCCAGAGTACTCAGCGTATACCCCGCACGTACATCCTCCTCGTGTATAAACCGAATTCTTCTGTGACGTTCGTGGTGTAAAGTCCAAGGCATTTGGCGAATTGGCTAAATGACATTAGGGACAAGTTGCGCATGAAGCATATATACTGGTACATCTGTGTACATGTGCTCAAATATAAGGCTGTGGTATTTTGTGAGGTCAACAAACATACGATGCCATAAATAACACATTTAACGTTAAACAGTTTACATAGAACTTTTAATGGCTCTATTGGGAGTGATATGACTAATGATATTCCGCTTTAGCTTCATTTGCTATGCATGCCCTTGCTGGACGCTGCTCATTCGATTTGACTTTCGGTTTTTCGGTTGGCTACCGCTTAGCGAGTCTGGTGAAAGAGCTCAGAAAGTGGGATTTTGCTGTTTATTTCAGTGGAAAGTTTTATTTGGGGAAACTTTCATTGGTTTGCGCCTACCTGAGTGCAGTGAAGCGGCAAACGGAATGGGCAATAAATCCATGATTAAAAACTAATCAAAAATTACAAGCACACAATGAGTATTTACATACAAATTTATATATTTACGCACTCATTATATGGGAAAGCAGTGATAGAGACAATTATACACATGAAATGCCAACCATAATCATGCTCATCCAGTGGGTTATTAGGTACAGATGAAGTTAAGTAAATATTCATTTGAAACTTTATAATAAATGTGTAAGAATATTTATGTTTTTTACTAGAAATATTTAAATGGCTTTTTCCTAAATTACTGACGGATCAAGCCACAGCCTGAAACATTGATCGTAGAGAACCGAAAATAAGAGTTCTGCATTTGATGTGGGAATCGGATAAGAATGGATTTCTGGGATGGGAACGATCGTTTCGCTCGATTTTTATTAAATTTCTGGAAAGTGGACTTGGGACCTATTTATTTCAATTTTAGTTGTACTGAAATTTTGGTGAATAGGTTTTTTCCGAAAAGTGGGCTGGGCGCTTTAAAATTATTTAAAAGCAAAACGAATACAAATTTTTTCCATATATAAATGCCTTCACATTTGGCTAATAATGGAAAAACATTTCATATATGCGGTTCTTCCATGTAATTCTCTTCAACATTAGAAAACAATTAATCTCTGAGCGGTAACAATCGACATTGAACAACAAACATTCACCCGTTGAGGATCGAATGGGTTTTCTATGGGCTTGCTTGGTTTGTTTACGTAACCACCGTGGTAAAAATGAGCTCCACCGGAACAGATTATCTTTCAACAAAAACAGGGTAAAATTACATTGAATAAACATAAGACTTCAACTGTTGGACCAAATAGACTTTAGAAGTATTCATACCGACATCTTTACACCAAATTTTGCGCAGAGAAGTGTCGAGAAGCAAATGGGATCTAAAGAACGTGCCGACCGGAAGAAGCTAAATTTCTTTTAGGTGAAGATAAGGTATGCAGGTATCCATATGGATGGGTTCGAATGCAAGTCAGGCACAGAAGCAGGATTCGTTTGTCTAAAAACACCTAAGGAGCTAGTGCATTAAGCTTCCGTGAGAATTCGTTGATTGCAACAGATCAAACATTTACTTGCGACTACCTATAAGATATGTATGAGCTGGATGTCCGAACAAGAACTGAGTTAAGCGCGGTCAGTATGGGCTAGAACATTTTTGAGCCATTCGGTACCAAACTAGGCTTCAGACAAGGTGGCTCTCTTTCATATGGCCTGTGATCTTCTGGGTAAAATTATAAGATCTGCAAAACTAAATGAGGAAGATTCAGTTGGAGAAAGCCCGCATTTTACTTGGTTTTTACAATTGTTGCCAATAAGATTAATTGCATGATATTGTTTACTCGGCTGTAATCGCAGACGCGATAGCCGAATGATTAGCATTAGTACTCTCA